GTTTTGGGTGTGCTCTGCTTTAATTGTAATATATCACAAGTATAGTATTATACAACTGTAATGTATCACTGTAATATATACATGTGCAGCCTGGGAAACCCTCTGGGGGCAGTTCTTCTCGGTCATGTGGCGTCGCTATGAGCCAGGATCAGCCTGATGACACAGGACAACAGGCCAGGCAACTCTCTGAGAATTAGTGATGCTGAGATGCATTTTATCAGGTTTTGGATCTTGAGCTGAAAGTCAAGTTGGGAAAGAGGGCGGACTAACAAGTCCATAACAAGCTGGTGTGCTATGTGCTTTCTAAGGACAGAGCCCGGAGACACACAGAGCCAGAGCATGTAAACCAGCCGGGGCGGGCAGTCAGGGAAGGCTGTGGGGTGGGGTTTGCGTGACACCGTGTGGCTCTCTAGGACAAGGAGTAGGTAGTCGAGTGGAGCAGGGCAGAGAGCCTCCAAGGCAGGAAGAAGGGCAAGTTTCAAGGCCGAGAGACCGGGCGCCCCATCTATCATCAGTTCAGGGGCCCGGCAAGGCAGAGAGAAGCAGCCGAGGGTGAGGGCAGAGAATGAGGCTGGCCAGGTAGACAGGGAGGGACAAGGAGTTTGATTTCAGCCTGCAGGTTCAGAGGAACCAATGACCAGTTTTAACTATGGGAATGACACCACCAGATTTGCCTTCAAAAACGCTTTGGTAACAGGGTGGAGAAAGGAGTGGAAGGGGTTACACCGGGGACAGGGAGAGAGAGAGAGAGAGAGAGAGAGAGAGAATTGCACAATGGTTGAGGCCCTCTTTCTTAAGCGTAGGGCTTACTTCCTTAAAAAGGGAACTGACTAAGATGACTACAACATGATCATATATATGATTACAATGTGGGCTTCTAACCAGAAAGTCAGCAGTTTGAAACCACCAGCTGTTCCAGACTTTCACCTACAAAGCGTGACCGCCTGGGAAACCCGCAGGGGCAGTTCTGAGGGCTGCTGGGAGTCAGAATCCACTTGGTGGCCATGAGGGTGAGCATTTGGCACATGCACACTTCCTAATATTTGCTAGCTTCTCTTTCTTTTAATTAAAAGATTATTTTATTGGGAACTTTTACAACTCTTGTTAAAATCCATACATCGATTACACCGGGCATGTTTGTACATATGTTGCCTTCATTCTTTTCTAGACATTTACTTTATTTATTTTTAAATTTTCTCTTCTCTTTCTTGCAGAAATCAGGCTCAGAATTTCCACTTTTGCTTCTTTAAAGTGAGAAGGTCAAAGACACTTGGGAGGCAATCTGCAATGTCCTTCTGGACTTGCATGACCGCCCCCCTCACTTGTTTCCAGTTTTCAGCTTCACTGACACCACTGCAGTTTCTACAGTGAGTTTTCCTGATGAGATCTTTGCCAAGAGTCCGCTTTGACTTTCAGAAAGCCAACAGCTACCTTTCTGCGCTCATGTTTTATTAGTGTATGGACCACTTTATGAAATTACAGTTACAAGAAGAAGTACAGGTGGTATGACTAGGCGCAGGAGCCTGGGTGGTCGAAGCATTTTCAGTCGGCTGTTCGGACTCACTCAGCAGTTCATGGAAAAAGGCCCGGAGAACTGCTTCCATGAAGCCTCACGTGCAGAGAACTCCATGGAGCAGTTCTCCGGGGCTGCCGTCAGTTGGAAATCAGCTTGATGGCGAAGGGCTTGGTTTGGGGAACAATCACGCATGTGCTCTCCGTGAACATGTAAGTCCCCTAGGGGCAGACAAGGGCATGTCTACCAGAGCAGTGGTTGTCAACCTTTCCAATGCCGCCACCCTTTCATATGGTTCCTCATGTGGTGGTGACCCCCCCAACCATCAAGTCATTTTTGTTGCTACTTTCTAACTGTCATTTTGCTACTGTTATGAATCGTCATGTAAATAGCTGATATGCAAGATGTATTTTCATTGTTACAAATTGAACATCATTAAAATATTGTGATGAATCACAAAAACAATATGTAATTCTATAGTGCAAAATATTTATTTCTAATGACAACTAAATGAAATGTTGTCTTGAAGCATGGTGTATCATGGGTAACAGTCTTCACGCCGGGTATGGGTGCCTGTATGTGGGTGTATCTGCATGTGGGTGGACTCGCTTGGAGATGGATAAAGGAGCAGTGTCTGGGTTCCTAAGACCATTGGAAATATGTATTTTCCGATGGTCTTAGTTGATCTTTGTGAAAGGGTCATTCGACCCCCAAAGGGGTTGCGACCCACAGGCTGAGAACCACTGTACTAGAGTGTTGACCACCAGTCTTGGGCATTTGCATTTCTGCGGGTGTCATCAAAGCGTTCCCAAAACAAAAACAAACTTCCTGTGACTCCGTGGATGCCGACTCATAGCGACCTTATAGGACAGGGTAGAACCGCCCCTGTGAGTTTCCAAAGCTGTGACTTTTTATGGGAGTAGAGAGCCCACCTTTCTCCACAGAGCTCCTGGTGGTTTCTGACTGCTGACCTTCGGGCTAACAGCCCAACGTGTAACCACTATGTCACCAGGGCTCCTTTTAGTCAAAGCATCAGTCAGTCGTTTTATTTTTTGGGGGGGTGGGGGTGGGGCATAAAGAAGTGAGTAAATGGTGGTCAGTTAAGAAAGCGTCTGAAATAAGGGCCTGCGGGGGAAGCGTGGGATGTGTATGCAAGAGGTAAAGCAACAAATGGTGACTGTCTGGGCACATGGCTGAGGTAGAGTATGAGCCTGGTGGCACAGTGGTTACACGTTAGGCTGCTAACCGTAAGGTCAGCAGCTCGAAACCACTAGGTGCTCTGTGGGAGAAAGAGGAGGCCTTCTACTCCCATTAAGAGTTACAGTCTCAGAAACGCACAGGGGCAGCTCTCCCTGTCCTCTAGGGTCACTAGGAGTCAGAATGGACTGGGCGGCAGTGAGTTTGCTTTGGTGAGCTATGCCTGTGCGTATGATCTGTCTGGAGTGGGCTTCTTTAGGATGTCAGTGCGGGAGCATTAGTGTAGGCGTGTCCTCAGTGGATCTTTTCTGTGTGATAGGAAAAGAGCAGACGGGGCAAGCAACCTAGATGAGATCTCCAAGGGACTCAAAGCAGGAACTGCAAAAGGGACACAGATATCTGGCCCTTGCTTCCCCAGAGCGAACCCAGAGAAAGCCTTGAACCCAGACTTCCTTGAGTCCACAGTCCTGGACACTCACTTGGGCAGTTCTACGCTGTCCTGCAGGTCGACTCGAAGGCAGTGAGGGAGCTTTCTGTGGGAAAAGAAATGTCTGCTT